TCGTGCTACAGTATGGTGGAAAAGTTATTGTAAGATCTAAGATAATTCAATGCAATAATATTTATATAATTTCGATTGTACATCAAAACAGATTGAATGAGTCTGTATTCATACATACCCACACATCTAAAAATATTAATTAAGTTTATCTCGAATTAGAGGAGGTCAATCGACTTTAAAAATAGTCAGCATTGATGAGAAATGAATGCGTTATTGTTTATTTTTAATTTCATAAAAATATTTTTTTACAAAATAATACATCTGTTTTTAAATTAAAAGTTCCACCTTCTTTTCGTATCCGGGATACGGTTCTGCAACTAATGTTCAAAACCTCCGCCGCTATGTTTATAACGGAGATGTTTTCTCTACTTGTTTCTTTCTTTCTTTGAAAATAATTAATAACATTCCAAACAAGTTTTCTACTCCGAGAATTTAAAACTTCTTGGACCATTTCGTTGAAAGTTAACAACAAAAATAACAATAAAAACAACAATAACAAAAACAACGACAACAATAGTTACAAAGAAAAAATAACTTTAAAGATATATGTAGAGAGATGATTATTTGCACTAATACACCAACTAAATTAAGTCGACCCTGTAAGTTTGCCCATTTTATGTAGGTACAAATGACAAGACAAGCATGTTGTCGATCGTCTCATTTTATTCGATTGATTCTTATGAAACGTAGGTGCAGGTCTCGACGCAGCTGTGGAGGAGGCGTGTTTAGAGAGTACCAGGATATCTTCCGTTTATAAGAAGGAGAAAAACGATATGCCTGTGATGTGCATTATTTATTGGGGTCTTTGCCTTCTTATTTCGACTATACTATACCTAAATTAATGCATCCGAACAGCAATAGTTGTTAGATGCAAGATTGGTTTGGTATTTCTAAGGTAATCTTATTGAAAATAACCATGAAATAACAATACAAACGAAACTATCCGGATAAAAAACTAAAAAAATACTACTACTATAACTACATGTATTATAATCATTGAAAACCTTGAAAACAATAGGCGAAACGTAGGATTTGGTTTTTTAAAAAAAATAATGAATAATAATAAAATTCTGAATTAACATCTGATGAAAAAATTAAGGGAAGAAATACCATAAAATTTTTATTTATTTACCTATTTGTTGTATGCTCTGTTTAACTAACCGCTACTGATTTTTACAACCCTTTGGCTTGCGCCCTCCGCAAGTCTATAGTACAGTTGGATTTATTGCTGTCTTTTATTTGATGATCATACTACAGAAGTAAGCAACAACTTTTTTATAGTGTTGTTTCTAAAATAGATACGTATGTATTTAAAGGCAGAGGGAGATACATATACAAGAATGTTAAACCTATGGTTAAACTGTCTAGGATGAGGTAAGGGAAAAGGATTAAATTTTATATAAACATGTAAAATCCGAAAGTGTGTTTTATAAATTAACCGATTTTGAATAACTTTTTGGATCGAATTTTAATAATTTTATCTGTTTGACTTTTGCTTAATTATTTGTACTTGCATGCACTAATGGTAAGTCCAAAAGATGTCGAACGAATTAAGTTTTTTACGAACGCTCCCTTAATGGTAAGAGATATATAAATATTTTTTATAGAAAAGTTGTAAAGCTACGGTTAAGATTAATTCACAAATTGATAAAATCTGACTTTTATAGCCACAGATTGAATTCTAAACAGGCAAAGTCGCGGACACAACTAGTATACAGGGTGAGCATACAAAATGGTCATTGTGACCAAACTGTACGTTTAATAGAAAAATTTTTAGAATGAAACTTGTTCCCTATTTTAATACAAGATCGTCAGTAGCGTCTAAATTTAATTTACTGCACGGTGTTCAAAAATAGAAAAAAGTTCCCGTTTAAATGGTAGCACAGTTACGTATGGTTCCACTGGAAAAAAGTTGTTCAGAATACTAGAATATGGGTCTATATAAAAAATTGCGGCGATATTCAAATGTTTTTTTTCGAGTCAAATGAATCAAAAGTTCGCAATTGGATAGATGTAAGAATGGAGACACAACATTGTTGTAAAGAAAATTTTACATTCTTTTCAAAGCTCAGTTTGATCTATATTATATATATTAACGGTAATTTTTATGCTTAATCAATTAAAGCCCAAGATCAATTTTAGGCAATAAAGACATTTGAATATCGTCATGATTTTTTGCATAGCTCCATATAATTAACCGTGCTGTCATTTAAAGGAAACATTAAGGGTTTCACGACCATGTCTAATGTACTGTTAGCTTTCGAACTTATTGACCGTCGTCTGGCCATTTATCTTTTTGACGTTTGATCGGCACGAGTGGTTGGTATCTTCAGAAGTTGTGTTTGCATTCTGTCTGCGCTGAATCAATCGTCAAGTTTGTTTTTGAAATATTTTTCAATATAAAACTTTTGGTTGCTACAAACAACATATTGCCTACTTTTTATTGACTTCCATAGAGTTCTCTGTTCTCCTATTCTTTCCAATACCT